GTAAAATCTGTGTTGTAGGTAACTCAATATTTTTTTAAATCTGAGATGTCCCTCTGTTAAAGTATCATGGGATTGACGTTACATAACTTCCCGTAACTTCCTTGGTGTAACCGTTTGGCTAGGTCGTCACTTTCCCATCTCCGGAGAAGAATACCATCTTCAAGCTTCAACTGGTCCCATTGTGCCCAATAGTTCTTTGTCACAGGGCTTAGACTAGACACCTTCTCCCAAGCAGGGCGCAAAACACTTGCTTTAGTTTCTATATTTTGTTGTGAGTAAACAATTAGATTAAGATCTTATATCATAGAAAATTTGCATCTTGAACTTTCAATGTTACACATATGTTTGTGCATATGCCTAGCTATGCCCTTGACTTATAACCAAAATATTTCTCACTATTTTACAGCTGAGCCTGCAGATAATAATAAAGAAAAACTTACTTAAAACATGTCATCACATTTAAAATTTATTTTCCAGCAAATTTTTGAAAGAAAATTCTTATTTTGTTATAGCATCTTTTATTTCAAATACACATACAAACTGAAAGGAAAAAAAAAAACTGTCTGTGAATAAGTACAATTACAATAAAACAAACAAAAGCAAGAGAACTAACACAAATGCTCAAGTTTTAAAATTCTTATTTTAAATGCATGAAAGTTGAAAAATGCAGTAGTAATCATTAGCTTTAAAAGGATGTATACGACAAACATGCCACTTTCCTGACAGAATGCATAATAGTTTCACAATTCCTTTTATTACCCTGATGACATGTTTATTTAGCAAGGTTTAGACCTGTTTCATTAATATACCCTGAAAAATGAGATAGATAACCCAATGATCTTAGTATTGGATTGCTTCACCACTGATACAGAGAAAAATACATGCCAATTCCTATTTTACATGTTCTATTATTTCTATGCCAGTGTTTGTCATTACCTAACTAAACCTGATATCCATAACTAGACTTTACATTTCAGTTACATATCTTTGTTTTGATGTTATAGGATACAATGTGCAACAGTAAATACTGACATATATAACAAGTGTTTGAAAAAATGTAACAGATGAGAATATACTTTTGTTTTAAATATCCTAATTTGTCAATACTTACATTTTAGAAAAATAATGCAAACAAACTAACTGATACTAAGCAAGTATAAAAACTGTTCTCTTATTTTTCAAGTTATGTACAAATATAAAAGGTAGTCCAGGAACAATGAATATCATACTGTTCTTATATTTAACCATGTTTCATACATTATCAATGCCTAATGAAATAAAATTAACACTCCTGAGCAAATTAGTATCCTGTGAGGTCAGTTCTATGAATTCCATTATTATACCTATTAATATATTGTTAATGAGAAAAATAGAAAAATATTCAGCAATAAATTATTTCTGGATCACCCTGTATATCATACAATATAATGAATATATGCTAAAGTCAAATAATCAGATGTAGTTATCTTAACATTTATCTTTTTGAATTTAAATGGACTATTTTTTTTATTCAGTAGTCTAGCAACATTGTGTATACACATAATAAGTTAATGCATTCACCTTGGTAATTCTACTGTTTTAATAATGACTTGAAGGATATGTATATAGTAAAGTATGAATTCAGTTACAATGCTACATTTTTATTTCCAGGAATCAAACTAAGTAATAAAACATGCATTTAACAACCATCAATAAATAAAAGCCAATCAGATTCCTTTGAATACATAAACCATTTTGGTAGCTGATTCAATATAAGAATATAACCATTCTTAGTCTCTGTTTCAATACAAACAAATATAGGGTGACAAGTTTTAAATCTGAAGAAAGTTTGAAGTTATATTAATAAAGAAACTACTCCCACCCCCCACCCCCTCCCAAAAGGTGATTTTTTTTTTAATGGGGCTAAGGATTAAAGTCTGCATACATTTCAGATGCAGACTGAGCTTATTTTCCATAACAGCCTTACACTAAAACTAACATTAAAATACATTGAAAAAATTTCAGAATCCTCTGAGCAAGCAAGTAGGTACATTAATTATGTAAAATGTTTTCTTAGATATGTAAAAAAATAAGATAACTAAAACACATGAAATTAATGCACATTAGTCCTGAGGAAAAAATGTATAAATAAAATTCTATACCAAATGAACATTATAGAAGCTCTCTAATTATTCAAGTCATACCTACTTCACTATTTGTTTTACAAAGCTAAATGTTTTTTTTCTTATTTTCATGCAGCTTTTGTCTTGCATAAGATGTTAAGTTATTAATAACTAAATCCAACTGTATTTTACATTAATACTATCAAAAAAGTCATCTGTCATATCATATTTATTCTATAACACAATTAATGCACCACTGAGATACAAAGTTTCATGAACATATACACACCAGGATTTGTTAAAAGAATAAGTTTTGGAAAGCTTGAAGTTTCATTATCATGAACTGGTTTTGAGATGATCACAGAATATGTGAATTATTCTGTATCATACAAGTTCACATCATAAGCAGAAAATGAAGCACCTGGATTTTCTCTTTGAAGTATCTTAGAATGGATTATAGCATACAAACATTTATAGTGACACAACTGTCATCTTATGAAACACCATCACCAACACGTCTATCTTACTACAACAGTTTCCAAGCTATTGATAAATGATCTCACAATTTGTCTATTTGATATCTGAAGTTGTAGATTATTCAATATTTCTCAACAAAAGTTTCTTATATCTAACAGACAAGATTTGTTTGATGAAATAATTACTTTTACCATGCAGAATATTACACCATCATCACTGACACAACTTCAAGGAAGTAGTAGTTTGAGATATAAGTCACTATAAGCAAACACTAAACTGTCTGCCATATCACAGACAGCCAAGATATACAGCTATAACTTCTGTAAAACACACAGTAATGAACTTCAAAAGAATAATTACAATAAAAACAAATAAAACACTAAAAAATGAGCAACAAATATTAACATTTCTATTTTTTTTGGCATGAACTGTGCATTTCTAAGACAAACTTATGATAATGTTATTTTATTACAAAAAGACTTGATCTTAGTAGCATGGCATGAAAAATATGTATGTTCCTTTCAAATATTTTAATCTTTTCTATGCAAAGTACAGATTACAGTGAGATGTGGTACTTTTTAACCCACAACATAATCCCTGCTTGAATAAGTGCATCAAGTATACATAAACTTCATAATGTTTACTACAACTAAATCATTTTCCATGATTTTGGTTCAGTATGTTACGTGTTTATAGGTGAAATATTTGTGTACTGATGTATATTTAATTAATCTGAATTTTATTTTTAAATCATTTATGAACCGTTAGGAAAACTGTGATTTAAGTTCTGATTTTAAAATAATTGTTTATGGAAATAAGTATGGAAAAAAAGAATACAGCTGAATCATGCATCTAGGTCACTAGCTTAACTAATATTTGACAAGAATTCAGCAGACACAGTGCTATATTGATGGCAAATAAATCAAAGGTACAGTAAGGAATCATGCTTAATGCTTCACTTTAAACACAATTTTTCACATACATTGTCAAGACTCACTACATCGTGGTATAAGAATTAGTTTCTAAAACATCATAAACCATAGATAAATGGAACATTTTAAGTTACAAACAAGTTTTATTATAAAGTATATGGCAATTTCAATTATTGAGTAGTTGCCAGTCAAAACGAAATTTAGAGGCAAACAAAAAAAATTGACTAGCAACTGCCAACTGCTGATTGTTGAACATGAGATGTTTATAAGAATTATAACTCACAAAATAAGACATAGGAATTACAGCAAATATGTAGAAGTATGTACACTTATAAATTTAGGCTATTACAGTGCATGTCATCAGCAATGCATTAATCCTGTTTAATTGTTTATGGTTTTTGTCACAAGATCACAGCAGTGATATTACAAAATTTTATGTCACTGTGTAATTGCATCTGATAAATTAAAAATATATTGCAGAGTTGTAAAACTTAATTGTAATTGAAGCATGATGTTCAGCATATGTAAAATATTTAAAAAAATCAACTGAGCATTCATACAGAAAAATGTAAGTCTGTTAAAGTAACAATATTTGCAAATTTCAAGTTTCATATTTATCAATGAGTATTAAACAATGTACACTATTTACTGACTTCCTACTTATAGTATCCATGTCACACATGGAACTTAAACAGAAGCATAAAAAATAAAATAAATTCAATCTGTAAGTAAACCCACAGTAATTTATGTTTCCTTATATACCCTGTCATGTTGTAAAGCAAAAATGATCTTGTATTTCGTTTTTAATATAATAAAACAAAATATCAGACTGCTTCTGTATTAATAACCTGAAGTTGTGATTTATAATTCTTGTCAATACCTGAGACTTTTTAAAAAATATTCTATGATATTCAGAGACCTTCCCTTATTTAAATGACTTAGAAATAATTTATCTTATTTCTCCCACATTTTTGTACCTGTTAGGAGCTCATGATGATCTAATTCTGTTCAGTTAGTTTTTTGTGTGTGTTTAAATAACCTGACCTTTTAAGCTGTGGTCTTTTCATGCAGAAATAACATTTACATAAGTGTACTTAAATGTTGTTCATGAAGCATTACACTTTCAGTGAGAACCAAGTTGTTTCTGGACATGCTATTCATGGTTTATCTATGCATTGCTGCAGAATTTTGAAAAACAGCTTTGAGAACATACAAGTTGTATTGAAAATTCTTTCTTTAAAACTGCTTTAAAGATGACATCAGTTTTTTACATTTAAAGGCATTTAGAAAGGTATAAAACTATCATCAATCACCTACCAATAAGGAGTGAGAGAAACACAACAGCAACAAAGAAAAAAATGACTTTTGTATACAGTGTCAAAATTTACACAACTTTTTAAATCAAGATTGTAGCCTCTTAACTTTAATAAAAATTGTATACACATAATATATATATTATTCACAACTGTGCAAGCTAGTATGATTTGGAGAATAAGGCACACATATTGTAGAAGTAACATATGGATAATGTTACACAGTTACAACCTGATATAAAACACACAACATGGACAGATCACTTTGATGGCTGAGATCAAGGTTCTTTAGCATTTCATTCTTCAATAATGCTAATCTTACTATACTTATGTTTTGATGAATTCCTTGAGTATGCCATCAAAAGTTCTGATGGTTAAAGGACATAAAGCAGCAGGAACTTTTCTCATCAATACATTTCAAGAAGCTGAATATCACAGGCACAACATGCTGGAATTCTATACAGTGATTGGTTCCACATCACAAACCAAAATCAAGTCACGAATAGCAGAATATTCATCATTTGTGATAAAGTTCTTGTACAATAGACTAAAAGATGGCCTGTCTGAAGAGAGAGTGGCCCAGCACTGCTGCATAATGGAGAATATACTATGAGGACACTTTTCTGGTTTGGGCAAACGTTCTCCTTTATTAAGCAACTGTAACACCTGTAAAAAAGTTATCAAGTTACAAGTAAAAAAAATACATGATCCTAAATTCTTGTGTGTTTAACAGCCCACAGAAATGTTAATATTATCATTAAGTTTAAACAATTTTTTTTATAAATAAAATATGGTCTATATACATTGAAGACTTTTAAATACATAAAAAGTTATCATTCAATTTGAAAAAATAATCGTAACAAGGTACTTTCCTTTAATCTCATTTTTGATTTGAAAATGGAGGACAAACACTAGATGGTGAATGTTAGAACAAAAGAATGATTAGAGTTGTCAAAAAAGAGAATTATTGATATTTTTATTTTACCTCAGAGCCTGTCATATTATCATATGGATTGGCTCCAAATGAAAACATCTCCCACAATGTGACTCCATAACTCCAAACGTCACTTTTATTAGAGAATGTTCCATACATTATTGATTCTGGGGCATACCTAACAAAGAAAATTCCAAGCTTTATTCCAAATAAATATATTGGTTGCAAAAACAAAGTGGATTAAAAGAAAGTATCAAGGATCAATATCCAAAGGAAAGTTTCTTCAGACCAACAAATTACACATTAAAACATTCTTTTAAAGCTAACTTGTGTTTTAAGCACATTTTCTTGGACTAGCCTTTAATTATGATTAACTTAATCATCATTAATGTTTTGGCACTGAAAATTTCATCATTGATACCCAGTAAGTTAGAATAAGAATGAAAAAACAACAAACAAACATTCTGATGAAATTTCAAAATTTTGATGCAGAAATAGTTTTTTTTCTGAAGTTTGATCTAACAGTACATATATGATGATTTTTTAATTATATTTAGTAAAACAGAGGCATAAAAATCAGATGGTTCTATACCATTTAACAAAAGCAAAAACAGCATGATTTGCTAGTAGTTACAAGATGAATTTCCAGAACTATACTTGTTTTGTTGGTACGCTGAATTTATGACAAAAACTTAATTTTTGGTCAGAAATTCTGAATACAGTTCAAAACATTTATGTCACGTTTCATGCAACTTGTAGTGAGAGTACACAGATGTTTTTATACATTTCACATGTGCTATCTGACGTGGAAATATCGTCACTTTTGGGTAGATAACGCATTTGACATGACTGTTCCTACTAACCTAATTTTCAGTTTAAATTTATGACTTATACAATCTGACATGTTCTTCTCTGTTTAAAGATAACTACTCAGTTAATCAATATGTGTGACCCTAATATACATTTTATCCCTTTAGGTTTACATTTCACATGGCATAAGACACCTGTATTCTTTTTGCATGACTGAATGATGTCCTAGTAACTTTACTTTAGTGTGATCCTTATCAACCACTTAATAAGTATGTGGCAAAGCAGAATGATTTCTTAGCTATGAATATGACTCACTTTCTTTGGATAACACAATTCCTAATATGTAACCATACGACTGATTCTACTGAGCAATTTACAATTTCATTATTGATATGACAAGTGAAACTACATTTATATCACCAAAAATGAATGGTTTAAACACTTCACAATATCACAAAGGAAGATCTTGATGCTTTAGTATAAACAATACATTTTATGACAAAATAGCCAGTACCATCTTTAAAAAGTATCACATTCCATAATGATAGGCAACCTAATGAATTTAGTACTCACACTGAAATTGGATACAAAAAATTACCTTAAACTAAAGAAAAATTGTACAAATAGACCTATATGGAATTCAACATATACAGGGAAAAAAAATGATTTGGCAACAAACAAGCATATTTCTGTAAACATACTTCTCAGTTGTTTCATTATAGGCAAAATCTTTCATAGTAAATATGTCTCCAAAATAATGGACAATCCATAAAAAGTACTTAACCAAGCTGAAATTTAAATTCTAAATAGGAAAGCTCTACTTTTAAATCTAAGTTGACATTTAAAAACAAAGAGAAACTTCAGAATACAGTTTGATTGGAGTGTATTCATGCAAAGGTTTCTGTATTCAGTAATTTTTTTTTGTATAGGTAAAGTAGAGCATTGATGTAGTGTTAGACAATATTACTGATTTGTAAGTTATCTTGCTTGGTTGTTGTCACATTTTCTGTGTTTCAGAAATGTATCTCATCTTGTTTGTCCCACATTCCTTGCATGATAATCTATGTAAAACGTTTCTTGAACAAAAACAACAACAAAAAAAATCCTTCTAAATAAAAAACATTTAGACACAAGTTTACATGTATTCATCTTGATTTTTTCTTTAAATTATTTGCATGAAAATTAAAGCAATTATTTATTATGTCTTTTTTTTTTGTTTTAACCAAACTATTAGTATTATTTCAAGTTCTTTTAAGATTAGTTTCATTAAAGCATTTAATCGTCGTACACTATTTCTCACTTTTGTTCTTTTGATATTATGTCAGCCACTCATACACTCTCAACACACAAACAGTTTACATTCTGTGCTTCAATTCCATTCGTTTACAGTTTTTTTTGTCAATTTATTATTTTTTAAAAACTTGTAAAAGTTGCACAAGTATAATTTCAACAGTCACAATTCCTTGAATTATATTAATGTGGCTAAAAACTATTTTTTGACTTTGAATTGTTTCATTCTTTGTATATTGCTTTATAAAGAAAGAATTCTTCCAATAAAAATATCCCCGAGTTTAATGCACATACCATTTCACTGGCCATTTCCCTCCTGTAGAAGCAGTATAATAGTCATTTTCTGATCGCAAAGCTCGGGAAAGTCCAAAATCAGTTATCTTTATCTGGAAAGAGAGTAATTTTTTATTAATAAGTATTTTAAATACCAAAAAATAAGCAAACACATAAAGTTATATGACTGTATACAAACATTTGTATATTTTCCATTTGCAAACAAAATATATACTTTTTTCTAACATCTGTGGCAATTGAATTCTAAAGTTTCTCTTAAAATTTTTTTATTTAATCAATTCTGTATAAGCACTACCAATAATCAAAATTAGCTTTTTCTGTAATGGGCAAAAGATTCTTGCTTCTTAAGATTTCATAATCATACTTCTGTTTTTTCAAAGAAAAGCCATCTTAATATATGCTATATTACTGAAAATATTGGGAGTGGTGCCTCCAGTTAGTAATAAGCAGGTCTAAACTGAATATACATGTAAAGTCCATAGCATATTGTTATACATAGTTTATAAAAGTCATCATCTGTCACAACCTATGAGAAAAAATGCTCACAGAACTTTAGAGAGGAATGTAATACTGGATACAGTGTTGATGGTATGAGTTTCAAAAATATTCCAGCTCCTTATTACAACTAAATCCACTAGAGGTAATGGGTTGAACAAAGGAAAGACTACTGGATGTGATAATAATAAAAATTAATCTGGTCATAAAAATTAATACTCTTGAGTTCTTGAGGACTTTAAAACAATAAATCCATCATTTGATAACTTAATGAGAGTTTTGTAAATACAGGTTAGCATGTCCACTATGTGCAGAGAGTTACTTACTGCAGTCAATTTCACTTAACACAATCATGAATGCAGGGTACTAAAACTCTCATTTTATGCTTTAAATATGAAAACTAGGATGAGGAACAATAAAAAAAAAGAAACTTCATGTGGACTGTTGGAATCTACTAATTGGTTGTTTAAGAAGAATAAATGGCAGCCTGAAGAAAATTTTGAATATGACTGCCATCCTGACAATAAAAACTGGTAGGTGTTATATTACAGAGTGAATCTTGTTTATTGGTTTGGACATGGTTCACTACTGCTAGTTAAGGAAGCTAGTACGGTCTTCAATGATGGAATTCTATAAAGATAATTTATTCTTTGGATAACTCTGCTAATCAACTGGTGTACAACTGAAACATGGCAGAATGTTTTAAAGAAGACTTGAGGAACAGAAAGGACAGAATCTGAAACCTCACTACATGAGGAACTATTCTGATGGAGAAGTGGTTGTCCACCAGATGTTGTTGGTAGGTGGTTAAAGTAAAAACATAAAGTCAAGGATGTGACTAATGAGACATGCAGGTATACCAGGTGTTTTTTATCTCCTCGTATTAGTGTAGAATTATTTAAATTTTTTTACTTCCAGTTGTATGTAGATTTGCAAATAATACTTTGGTCAAGAAAGTCATGAAGATCCTTTTGCACTAGATACTCATTGTTCTGTGTTATTCACCAAACGTAACACCTTGTCTGCCCATTGTGAAGATAGCTGTAAAGATGAACTTAGAATGTGAGAGAAGATAGCAGATTCCTCCATTGGTAGGTTAGGTGATACCTCAAAGTTACAACTCCTAATTTTCTAATGGGAATAATCAGACATATGGGAAAGTGAGAAGTTATTGTTTTAGAAGAGTGTATAAAGTTATGTTTTCTTGAAAATGAACAGTCAGCTTTTAGTTGTTTTTGAGTTTGATCATCTTGAACAACTTTCAGAACAGCTTTAGCTTTCCAGTAAAGGAACTGTTCATTGTGCTACGTACATACACTGTTGTTTGTGATTTAAGTAAAGAGTGTTTACTTGTATTTTTAAATTTGCACAGTCTCTTTCTTGCAAAACCTCAAAGTACAAAATTTTGTATCACTTCATAGTAAATATCTTGCTGAAACTATATTTATTCTGCAGATCCTATCTTATTCAATCTTGGGAGAAATCAGTTTTACCTTAGAATAGTACAGAGCAAATAGGAAGGAAAACATTTTGGTCCTGCAACCACAAGATATGTTACTGTTGAATTTTTAGAGTTCTTCTGACACGTATTGCACTTTTACTCTTGTGGCATCAAGCTTAAAAAGGCTTCTCTTTTGTGGAAATGGCATTCCCATGAGTAGGACTTACAACAAAGAGGAAAAGTTAGTCATTGAAGTGAAACAGTTGTCTGAGAGAAATGTTGAGTCTAGGAGAAATACTCTCTTAGATGGTGGGCTTTCACCAATGCTATGAAGGTTCTTGTTACAGCCACAGTCTCAGGAAAGAGAACTGCTGACATCTGGTGCACACAGAACAGCCGATCAAATTCTCCTCCTTAGAATCAACCTCAGAGGGAAACACTGAAAACTGAAAGTCATAGAGGTGAAGTGTCACCAGTCGAGCTTGTGACCAAATGTGGCTATCTATATATAATTCCCAGACCTTCAACCAGTAAAAGTAACCCAACCCTTGCTCTGGTTGAAGTCACCCAAGAGACTGGAGGTGTCTCTGCTAGAGTTGTACAATAAAATCGATTACCAAAGAGCATTGACTAGTGCCAAACAAAATAATTGATTAATCAAAATTATGGTTAAGCAGATTAATGCCATGAAAATAATAAACTAGATTTTGATTATTATTGTTTTCGATTATTCGGCCTATCAATAATCAAATTAGGAATAAATTAATCGATGTCAGGAAAATAACTAAGCAAAATCAGTACTTTCAGTTATCATGGTCTTTGATTATTCTAACTATCCAGTAATTGAAGTTACAAGTAAATTTTTGTAACTCTCTGTATACAGGCTTGGCCATTGTGCCCAATGAAACTAAAAATACTATAACTCTGAATGTACTAAGCCTACCTTCACAAAATTTGGTAAGATTTTACAAAATATTACAAGTCTGTTGTATACAAAAGAACCAGATTTTTTAATAAAGTATTTCTATTAAAGATTTGGTTGCTTGTGAACTTACAAAACTTTTACTGAGTCATTCTGAGTGAAAGGTGATTTTCATGCTAAGAATAGAAATACTTCTTTTAATCTTGTAGTTTTATATTTCATTTGCATAAACTTTAGAACCTCCAAAATGAATACCAAGGTTTCTCAGTAAAACTTTGTACTTTACCTATTATTTTTTATCATAACATCATCTACAGTGAAACCATCTGTCGTGAAACTTGAAAAACATGAGATAAAATCAAAAATACATTTTCGTTTCTAGAATGACTGCAGATTGTAACAAATAATAACTATTTATCATAAACAGCTTCAAGCTCATAATAGTTTAACATTTATTTATATTTGAACTGTCTAACTAGCATAACAGCCCACACACATTCCTTGAGAAGAAATTTTCTATTTAATTATTTTTTTCATTTAAATTTTCTTATCTAACTTCATAAATTTGTAATTTTGAGATTTTTAGTGACTTTTGTAAAACAATATATAACAATAAATAAAAAAATAACATAAAAACAAAGAAATCTGCACTTTACCCTTGAGACTTTTTGCATTTGAGTGTGTAATTTAGTAAATATATTTTTTTCTGAGTATGTTCGTTGTTCAAAATTAATTCAGTAGCTTTAATATGAATAATGTATCGGAAATTAAATTACAATGTCCAGGAACTACCATAACTTATCTGGCTTTCTAAGTAACCTATAAATAAGCTAAAAAAAAGTGTGTTACTGATCAGCACAACATCATTAGTACAAACAAAACAAGCTCTCATGATGAATTATCAGCTTTTACTGCTGAAACAATGGATGAAATTGGCTGAGCTACATCGTGTGAAATTTGTTCTTTCTATTCAATATATACATACCCAATAGTAATGTCAGAGAGAATTACATGTGAATGTGAGTGGAACAAATATAGTGATATCTCAATAAAGCAAGAAGAGGTTGAAATTTTATATTCTGGCTTGTGTGTGTGTGTGATATATATATATATACGTCATGTGTTTTTAACTGGTTGAACAGCCTGCAGCCCTTTTTAAAGGAAAAGATCTATAAATGACAAGTTACAGCATCACCAACCAAGTCACATGAATCTGAGAAGTTCAAACTGTGAATATTTCCTTTTTGAAATTAAAACTTAGATAATGTACACTACATTTTGATGTCAAGCTCAATGATGTAATATAGTGGTTAAATTAAATTTTGAAAGTAAATCTATAAAACGTTTGTGACGTGTGCACTTTTACCTAACTGTTTCTAATAAATAAATGTCATGAAAATAATCAAGTAATTGAAATTAGTGTTTCCAATTATTCAAACTATCCAGTAATCAAAATGCTGCCATTATGATTTTTCATTATCATTTTTAATCAGTTCAAGTTTGTTCAGCTTAAAAATGACTATATTATGACAAATGTCAGTGGAGTATGTTATGAACACCTTTATTGTCCCCAGATCAGGGGTTACAGCTAGATCTGAACAATTAACTTGATTAACTGATTATCTACGAGCATTGGTTAGTGTCAAGTAAAATAAATGATGAATCAGTCATGACTGATTAATGTCACAAAAACAGTCAACAAATCAAAATTAGGATTTTTGATTATTACTATTTCTGATTACTTCAACTATCCAGGTAATCCAAATATTGCCATTATGATTTTTTAATATTTTCAGTGCTGAACGAAGAATGGAAACCATTTTCAATGAAGACAACAAACAGTTTCAGATTATGCCTTTTTCAAAGATCTTTGATTGTAACAGGTTACAAAATTGAATTTAAATTATAGTAACCAAAATGAAAATAAAACTACAAAAATATAACAGTAGGGTGCACAGCAAAGCATGCTAAAAGTATTGTTAAGCAGGTCAGTCACTGATCACAAAAGTATATGTAAAGAAAAAAAAACTACCACAGGAAATAACAATAGTTTTATAAGGGCCAGGCATTGTATACATTAATGGAAGGGCATTTGGATTGAATCAAAAGTGGTTCCTCACATTTCCTGTAAAGAAAACTGTCGCACATCTTTCATTTTCATCCAATAAGATGTCTCCTCACTTAGGACCTTGTGCATTGTTCAGCAACAATTTCATGCATCATGCCCTTCAAGGATAAACCTTTAACTACCCACATCATACAAAAATCCAGTAAAAACTGAAGAATATACTTACTCATTCAGCCATCAATAACAACAATTCATGCAAATCCAAAAAGTGCTTTGCTAAGACCAATGGCTCAGAGAAATCTTGCACACTTGGGAACATCATCTATGAAATGATCTGTACACAGTTTCATCCACATACGTAGGTGTATCCAGTCATCCAATACAGGATCATTTTAAAGAACATTTTCATGTTACTGCAAATTTTGACAACAAAGAAATCACTGCTGAACATTATGTCAATACACGCAGCATAATTAATAATCAAAATTTAGAGACTTGTGGCATTTTTCTTGACAGGAAATTTAAGGAATCTCTTTTGATTCAATCCAAATGCCCTTTAATTAAAAGAAACAATGCCTGGCCCTTATAAAACTGTTAGTATTTCATGTAAGATTTTTGTTCTGTTCATTAAAACACTGCCATTATGGTTGTTGTTAAGCACAAAGCTAAACAATGTCCATTGTGGATATCAAAACCTTATTTTTATTGCTGTAATTTTTCAACCGATTTTGTGAGAATAAATGATTAGGTGAAAGTAAGTAGTTGATTAATGATCCTTTCTATTAGTCAACTGGCAAGTTCCACTAATTGCCTAGCTCTAGCTGCTTGTGGACAAAGTACCCCCAGCCAGAGCTGTTTCATCAGCAGGCACCAACTGGTGAAGATGGTGAAATATGGGGTAATCATGAGCCTCACAGAGACAGGAGGTATTCTGCACAAACACAATGACAACTTGTTGCTCCACAATCCTAGATCAATGAGATTATCCCTTATACAAGTGTCAGGGTCCATGGGTATGTTTACAACATACCCAGATGTCTAGGGCACCTCAGCCAGGTGGAAAATCAAGCAATCATTAAGAGGAATTCACAGAAAGCTTTGCCATTTATGTGAATAACCTGAACCATTTGTATGGTAAGGTATACCCTGGAATGGTTTCAGAGGGTTATGAGGTATCCTTGTTGACTGGTTTACCAAGGGATTACCCTGTGAGATTATGAAATATCTTATGGGTGTGAAACATATTCTCACTCTTAAGAGGCAGTTTCTGTCACATGAAAGGAAGACACCTCAGATGGATTATCCTAAAAAGTACCTGCATCTGGCTGAACCTAAGCTATGACGAGGATTAACCATTCACTACACATACTGGCACTGCAACACAGCCACATTGGTTTCTACTGAATAGACAGGGCAATCCCAATCCTCCTGTAGTTTTCACATCATAGCTTCTATCAATGATGCTCCTACTCAGATATTATTCTAGAAGAGACAACCAAAGCATATGTTTGGGATGGTTTGAAGGATCACTATATAGCGAACTGCCTGCACCTTGCCATGCAACAATGTAAGGTAGTTTTTCAGTTTCGACCAATAGTTCAACTAGTGCAAGAAAACCAACAGCAAGTAACAAACTGAAGTTTGTTTTGGAAATGTAGGATTCCCCCAACTTACAGTATTTTATACATTATAAGCCTCCTACAAAACAGCACTGTCCCTTTTTTATTTAGGAACACAATTCTCACTCAGACTCATTTAATCATTTTAACTTAATACAAAGAATGAAATAACTTTTGAGTGTAACAAATGTGACATTACTGCCTGTTACAAATTATGATGAAAAACCACTTGCTTAATCAAATTAAATGTTTTCAATAATAGCAATTTGCAGGTGGTAAATGCAGCATTTTTTTCCACATATTATGCTCAATATTACCATTCTGCTTTTCTAGAAAGGTACAACAGTCAAAGGTGCTAGGGTTTTATTGGATTTGTTTTGACTGTAAAAATATATCATGTAAACATATTTTACTCAATATTACTATTCTGCTTTTCTAGAAAGGTACAGCAGTTAAAGATGCTAGGGTTTTATTGGATTTGTTTTGAATGTAAAAATATATAACAACATTGTAATATTTGTGTCTAATTAGAACTATTTTTCTAAACTATAAATTCGAGTTTTAGTTTCCATGTTTGAGATAATGATTATGCACATTTTAAACACTAAAATGCAAGAATTCAGAAACCTTCACAAAATTTATAGGATCTTTTGTTATGCATTATCAGATTCAGTTTATATTTGAAAGCTAATTTCCTAATCTTTCTGGCTAAATGCATTAGAAAAATAAAAGGCATTAAATAAAAAATCATTAATAGCTTTTATGGCATTAATTTCATAGAATTTATAGACAAAAAAATTGTTAAGACTAAAAACAAAGAGAGTTACTGTGAAAGTACTTTTTATAACAACTAAAAACATTTGCTCAATCTAACCTGTTGTTTAGAGGCCAGGAGAATGTTACGTGCCGCAAGATCCCGGTGAACAAAGTGCTTTTTTTCCAGGTATTTCATACCACTGGATATCTGTCCAGCCCACAATATCAGTTCCATTTCTGTATTTACTTCTGTAGGATAGTCCAGCAAAAAGTCCAACATAGATCCCATAGGCACTAATTCTTGAATCTTAAAGAAGCAAACTTTCACATAACAATCTGTTTGACAGTGAACAGCTTTAATATTTACATCTACACAAGTATCAAACAAAAAAATAATGGCTCAGATAAAGGTAAAAAATACCCACCAGAGGGATCTCTAAACAAGAGACAACTTGGGGTATTGCTTTTTCAATGTTACAAAGGTAAAATAGATCACAATTCTTGTGAATAAAATAGAAAGATAAACACTAGAAGGTAATATAATTAAATTGAGGGAAGTAAACACAGACTACACTGTAGAAGTTACTGCTATCAGTAGATAAATATGCTGAGGAGAAAGTATATGCAAACTTAAAAAACGTTACCAGAATTTGAATAAAATGAACAAGATAGACATTAATCAAATTTGTCATTAAAGAATAATTCAGCTGACTGAAAAAAAAGAGACCCGTAATTGTATAATAGATCAACTACAGTTAAGAGTGTACATGCAAACTTTGTCAGTCACAACAGCATAAACAATCTATACTAAGGATGTTACACATAAACTTAACATGTCCTTAAGTTAAAAAGATATAGGAATAAAAAAATAATTGATACGAAGACTAGCTGGTTGATTTGCTAGTTCTTGTGAATGATAGTAAAGTTAATTTAAGTACAATAATAATTAAATAAACAAATAATCAGTTTTAAGAATAAAGATAAATAATGCTGTGTTAATTTTATTCTATAAATATGATCTGTAAATGACTTAACATAGACAATAATTATAATTCACTTGTTTAATCTAATCCACACCATGACAGTTACTGTATCCATATATATAAATAAAACCTCATCAACATAAATGTAGTGTGGTTAAAATATCATAAAACATTCTCCTTTCCTTTCACACAAGGTTCTTAGAATAATTAGTTTATGTGACAAACATCAATGTACAGTAAGGTCATGATGCATTAAAATAATAATTACGTTTATATAGAACTAATGCAAAAACATCAATGTTTATGTACTAATTTCAGATGCATGACATATTCAGCATCAGTTTTTTTTTTATATCAGATTAAAAAGCAGGTGGTATTCCCCTCAAATTTCAGTAAAATCTTCATTTCTAAAATACCAACCATGAATAGCTTATTTTGCTTCTGTAATAAATTGGTATTATAAGTAATTTTGCATTTGTTAATGCTATTAGCACAATAACTCAGTGAGCAAATGAAAAACTTCAAAATACAGAGAGTTGGAGAAGATTTAAATCAGTGCTCACCATCATCAGAGGTGGACCTAAACAAACACCCAATAGTCTCACGATACACGGATGACTTAAGCCAACCATCACTTCTACTTCCCGAATAAACTCTTCCCGTCCACTGTGAATATGTTCATCACGCAAAGTTTTCACTGCTACATGTCGCTGGTATGTCAAAGAAGAAAACATTTGTGTTGTAAAACCACCATGTTTTATTGAAAACATTTTTTTTTACAAACTTTTTCTTTTGGGAAAAATTATTATCTTTTCACTGTATAGAAGGAAATAAAACAGAGAAAGAACACATTTACAACTAAAGACTAGTGGAGTTAGTGTGATGGCATGATGATTAGTTTAACTGCTCCTACACCATGATTATAATGTTGGAGGCAGAACATGTATTTTAGTTTTTGAAAAAATAACTTCTTAAGTTGAGTAAATCATTATTAGTTAACTGCATTGTGCGTGACCATTGCTTCTTGGCTGAAATAAAAATTAGTGGTTAAATAGTGCTACACCAGTGTAGTCAAGATTATGATATATTGTAATCAAGGATGTGATATGGTCAGCAGATGTCATCATGGTTAATGCTGCATGGTATTTAGAGTTTGAAGTCAGAGGTGTTACAACAGGTTTTTCACAAATAAACAGTATATAAAATTAATATTTGTTAAACATTATTTATTGTTTGTAAATAAATAAAATTTTAAAATCAGGAAGGTTCAAGTGTTGCCATTATTTGGTTTACTGTGGTGTATTTATATTTGTCCTATAAATAATTTAAAATGATTCATCCGTACATACGTTTTGTGTAATATGGATAAATACGAAAGAAATTATGAAGCGAAAAATAAAGCAATCTTATATTCACCTCTTTGTTCGAGGAACTGTGCCATATCCCTTGTAAAACTGAACCAAATTCTCCCTCTCCTATTGGTGAACCTATAAATCAAAATTGGTGTTTTCAAACAGAAAGTTCACCAAAAACTACGTTCCTTATCACATGAAACGTAATACCTGTTGTAGTTTTTGCCAATCTTTCTTTCCAAAAATAAATTTATTACAAATTATTTATCTTCAAAAATGAAAACAAACATTTAATGGATTTAGAGCAATAACTTCTCCAGTTACTTTTTTTAAATAACTACAAAACAGAACACAAATTACATTATCATTATCCTTGTACTCATTAATTTTTGTTCATTTAGAAGAAAAATGAAATACCTATTAATTTTAAGGAATCCCTTCTAATTAAGTTAGGTAGTGATGAAAGTCGATTACTTGTACGTCTTAATGGTGTTTGTAAATGAGTGATCTCACTTGGGCTGTATTTAATGCTAACGTCAGCTTGCTGAAAGAAAAGCCAATTTATTATGATAAATTAAATAACATTTTTCCAAAAACAAAATATTTTGATATAATGAAAAAAAAAACACACTAGCTTATTCAAATATCTACTGATGATTTTCATACCTCATACTTATTGAATTAGGAGAAGTAAAAACACATCTGGAAATATAATTTATGATATCACAATAAAATACTATATAAAAGGTGAAGTTGATTCAACACTAGTTAACAAAATGATGTGTTTGTTCGTTTGTTTTGAATTTCACACAAAGCTACATGAGGGCTATCTGCGCTAGCCATCCCTAATTTAGCAGTGTAAGACTAAAGGGACAGCAGCTAGTCATCACCACCCACTGCCTACTCTTTTATCAACGAATAGTGAGATTGACCATCATATTATAATGCCCCCATGGCTGAAAGGGTGAGCATGTTTGATGTGACGGGGATTCAATACTGCGACCCGCAGATTGCGAGCCGAGCGCCGTAACCACCGGGCCATGCCAGAGCCTCAAAATGATGGCTTATGCTGTGTAACATTTTTGTGTTTAAAATATACTTTCCATAAACTTACAGAAACCAGCAGATACTGTTTATATTTTTCATTTGCTACCTGTTTTTTGGGGTTATAATTAATCCTATTTGGAAAGAATAAAAATGACAAAAAATTAATCTGCTAATACATAATAACTACAAACTTATCAATTTAGTGATGAAAGTGTACAGTTGTATCAGTACGAATAAACCACTCCTACGCAATTTTTCTAACAAAATATTTTATCAATTTATTTTATAAAGACTTGTAAACAAACAAGGAGTATAAAGTTACCGAGATCTTACCTGTTCATTTATGACATGAGAATTATTATTTTCTGTTACACCTAGTCAGATAAAAGACATAAAAAAAGTTTAACTCATAAAATTACAACTAGATTTCTGCTAAAAAAATCAACATTATGAAATCAAGAATGAATTCTTACACAAAAAATTAATCTACATTATTTCTATGATAAGTGATATTCAAACATTTTGTCAACTGCATTAGTAGCACAATGAATTTTGTTGAAACCATTTAATTTAAAATTATACATAGGCTTTCTATAAAAAATTTAATGGGAAATTTGATTTATCATACTTACTAGGTGGAACAGGACAGACTAGTTGATAAGGCAATCCATCTGTCATTCTTTTGTAGTGTTCCACCACATGCTCTAATGACTCCAGGTATGGGCCTCCATCAATAAAATAAAACAAGCCCTTTAAAGTATAAAACGATATTATTCTAGTTGTTTATGTATTGCCACTAGGTCACTAAAATAACTAAATATCCTGAAAAAAAATACTGTAAATCAGTAAGTTTACATTAAAACTATATTATATATTTTTTGTTTTCTATTTCATAGAGAATGAAAATAACTAACAAGTATTAAAACCTGCCTTTTATTATATATTCACACAGATACAGACTGGCTAGTTGTGCTAGCCATTCTATATTTTGAACTGAATGAATAGAGGGAAGGCTATTAATTAAATTCACTTATGGAGAACTCTTGGGCTATTCTAACTGAAGAGTGAGATTTAACCCAATTATGCAGTTCTGAAACACTTTACACTGTCTCAGAGACCTGTACTAACAATATTGTATATTTGCTCAAAAAAAAAAAAAAAGATGACTCATTGATCCCTTTATTTATTAAGATGCTAAAGTTGTGTATAAGACCATACAAAAGCCTTCGTAATGTCCAACAAAAAGATTTATTCATCAAACATAACAAGAAAAAAAAAAAAATCAAAACCAAAGTATTTTCAACAATGCAAACACTACACTCTGTGTGGTTTGTATTCTTTCTTCATTTCTAATGCTACATTATAAAGATACAAAATTATCAAAGAAGTTTTTTCAAACACAAAAAGTCTTCTTCACTGCAGGAAATCAGCACACACAATGTGGTTGTGCTCCTTTCACACAAATTCAGCAATGTAGGTACAGTTTAAATATACATTGCACCTTTATTCTTGAGGCTAATGATAGCTTATCTACCTTTTGTTTTACTGAACTTTCCCACAGAAGGTATCACTGGAGAATTCTTTGTGTATTAGTGCATTCTTTAGTGGCACTGGCTGCTAAAGAGGTTTAGGAAAGTAGGGAGGTTATGTCTTCCTACTATCTTAACTTTGGTATGATCAAGTGACGTGGGTGGTAAGTGTACTATGGGAGAAGTGATCCTACTGTAAAATGTACATAGTGATCAGTTCAGAACTTCCTTTAACCCTATGGCTACCGGGTCCTTATATTTTAAGGGCCTAATGTAGCTATCATTATATTTCATTCCAAATATAAAACTAGTGGATGAAATTGTTTTAAATTTGACAAGAACTTTCCTAAAAGTACAAAGTTTCAAAAAAATAAAACATGTAGTTAATTGCACTTGGACTCTGAATAGTTCACCTGTGAGGCAATTTTCATGTTTAGTATAAAAATACTATTTATTATCTTAGTTTTCACATTTTATTTACATAATATTTAGAACCTCCTAAATGAATATCAAAAGTTTTTTAAGGTAAATGTTTATATTTTGTTTTCCATTTTCTCTACTATATCACTAACTCTAGCTATTATCATCAACGAAATATTTAAAATTAGGAAATGGAAATATGTACTTACCTCTGTAGAATAGTCTTACAATATCTTTTTTGGTTCATATGCATAATTTCATGTCTTTACCTTTTCACTAATAGGTTAATTATATTATTTTCCTTTCCTGTTATTTACCATTAATTATTTATGTCCACACATGTCAACAGAATGGTATGAACGGGCGGAGAAACTTTGTACATTCTTTGTGTTCTAAGACTTGTAGAGCAAAGGTTACATTAGAATATATTTAGAAAATTATTAAATGTTTCAAATATGAATCTTAAGTCAAAAATAATACATAATTAACTAAAATATAAAAGTAAAACCTAAACATAATTTAACTGTCTCACTAACTATACCATGGCACAAATTTCAAAATAACCATTGTTGGATTAGAGTGTAAAATGAGCTTTCTAATGATTATAAACACATGTACAAGCTACATGTACTTACTACACTAAGCTCAAGGCTAGGTACACAAGGTAGGCATGACCCCCATCAGGGGTTAACAAAATTTATTACTTGTTTCTACTGCACTTAACCAAAGAACTTTTAAACACACATGTCAATAGGACAAGTGAACATATATTATTGTCTAAACATAAGGGTACAAAACTACAGTTGTGTGACTCTACTCTGCTGAAAGTTCAAAACTGTTTATAGCTCGTGTATCATATGAAAACAAAATAAGTTTTGATTATTACTTTAGATGTTTCTTTTGTTTGTTTGTTTTTACAGATAGATAAAATGGCTGTTTTTTATTTTGTTTATTTTCTTACTTCAACTCAGTCAGGTCATAAAATCAGATTCAACTTTATAATAGGATATCTGTTCCATTTCTAGATCTCTAGTATGTCTGCAAATACCATACCTACATAAAAGCACATGTGTAGAAAGATATCATCTGGCTCAAGTCAGTTTTTCAAACATTTACAAGCTATATTGTTTTTGTAGAATAGATAAGACAAGTAAAGCTGTAGCTAGATCACTTCTCTTCAATAATTCACTATAAACTGTAAAAAAATACATAAGACTATCCCAAAAACAACAGGTTTCAGTTTTCTAAAGTACTTATTAAAATATGACTATAACAAATCTATAACAAAACTTTGAAAATAAACTTTGTATTTCAAATTCATTCATTCAACATTTACTATAAAACAAGGTCAAATAATAAACTAAAACTTTTGTTTTTTTATAGCATTGTAGGGTAGGGTAGATAGCAACATGACACAGTGACTTGTTGAGTTTATAATAATAATAAATTGACTGCGTGTTACAACATAGAACAGAACTAATGCCATATTCAAACATTTACACATTTTATCTGCTATCAAAGGTTTTCAAGTCTTATACAAAGTGCACGCTTGCAATTAGAAATGTGTTCACATGCATCAGTAAGCCACTTCACGAAGCCTGTTGTAGTAGTAGTGAGTCACCCTAGTGGAAATATTTTCTTGTAGAAAACTGAAATAACACTTGGATTTTCTTCTATATCCAATTAAGAATTTCATATTTATCAATGAAGAATTTAATAATATTTAACACATTACAAAGAACTTTGTCAAAAGAAATATTACACTAAGTTTAAGTTTTCTGGATAGAAAAGACATTGATTGTACTACATATGAAAAACCAAAAAACTGGGATGATCCCTTTGTAATGAGCGAGATGAAATTGTTAGAATTTGTTTTTGTTTTCTTCATGTGAAAACCAAAGCAATATGACAAACTTTTTGATTTCATTAATGGACATTGAATCAACCTCTGGACTTTAGTGTTGTAAGTTCATAAACTTACTGTTGTCCCACCAAAGGGTGGGGGAGACGAGTTGTTTGGGAGTATGGGGGGAGGGAGACTAGTTCTTTGTGAAAAAAGTTATTTTGAATACCCAAAGTGTTCCTTAATGGAAAGATGCATAAAGCTAGAATAATACAAAGGTTAAGTTTTCACACGATATATTGTTTGTCTTCCCAAGTTTACTTTTCTACTTACATAAATTTCATCCTAAATTTGTTTGTTAATTATTAAACATAACTTGCAATTACACATACATTTAGTTGTACAATATATTATTAATTAATGTTTTCTTCAATTAGAAAAAAATATATAAATAAATCTAAATACTTGATTAATATATAAATATTTAATCTAATTGTAAGTTAAGATAAATAACTGTAATGTTAAAATAAATGCTATCCAGTTTCCTCAGGGAATAAAAACAAGTTTTATTGTATTTCAATATACACTAGGATGTTTTATTAGAGCAAATGTGGTAACTTCTGTTCAGACAGTATTGAACTGGAATTTACAATGTATGTGAAGTTACTGTATGTGGGAGAGATGAGTCTGATAATCTCATGCAACATAACAAGACCATTCACTACAAACACAATGTGAATTTAAGATTAAATGTCATAATAACCATGCAATGTCTCTTTATTATGAAGAATCAGCTCCTTTAAAGATGAATAAATAATATGCAACTGTTCTTTTACAATAAGTTAAGATTTTTTCACATACAGTTTTGATTCTTTTTCTGTCTTTAACTGAGAAGAGAGATACTAGAGGGAGTGTTGCCACCAGTCAATATCACAGCACCTACTAGTTGAAGCTGTAGGATTTACGTTTTGAAGCATTGCACATCAAACCCGCTTTCCTCAAATCATGATCTGATGTTTGCATTTATAAAGTCAAAGGCCATCATAGGTCCAAATGACAACCTCCCAAGAGCAACTGTGTTATGTTAGGTTTCTGTTGTTATTATAGTAAAATATAATTAAGATGTAAGAGAGTACCACGAAAATAAAATGTTTGAATCTTAGATTCTTGTACGGGAACTAAATGGCATTGATATGGGATGCATACTTCACTATACCAATGCATGCATCAATATAGTGAATATTACTGGGAAAGAGATGAGAAAAGTCCTTCATTAACAAAATTACAGAATCTAAATCTACAGTTTCCCTGCTAATTGATGAAAGCACTACACTCAATCAAGTGTTTACTTTAATCATCTATATTTGTATTTTTCTGTCAGATACTGAAATGACAAATTCGGTGAACCTGTTTACTGAATTGATTGAACAAAGCAATGTCTCTGCAAAAGACATATTTAAAACAGAATTTACAGAATATTTACATGAAAATTTGGTTGCTGTGGATAGCGACAGTGCAGCAGTTATATTTTATAAAAACAGTAGCATAAAAGCATTGTTAAAAGATATGTTCCTGTCAAATCTTATATAACCGTAAAAGCTATTTCAAGAATAAACAGATTTATATTTTTCATAGATAAGCTATATATATTGTGCCATGAACTACCAAAAACTTCAAGGGAATTACATATCCACACAAGTTTCCATGAAGTTCAACTGTTAAAAAGTTAAGTACATGATGGGTCGCTTCAAGCTTCAGATTAGTTTCAACAGTGTGGAAAGGTTATGAAGCTTTAGTAAGGCATTATGAGAAAACTAAAAATAACCAAAAACACAGATATGCAAAAGAAAGTAGCATGTATGCAAGTCTTCTTGAGAAAATAACAACAGCTGAATTTGATTTGGATCTGGAATGTGCTGCAAGAACTATCAGAGCTTAGCCTTCATCTTCAGTCTCAAGACATTAACTTGTACACTGCCTATTAAAAGATAAAAAATCAGGGAAACGTTTCTGAAAAAAGAATCCTGAAACACAGACCATAGTACAACCACACCATTACTGCTCCTAAAAGACTGGAATTTAAAATTGTCTGTCTTCACAAAATAGATAAAATTACTAATCTACCCATAAATCTTGAAGAATTTTATCAAGATTGAAGCAATCTATCAAAAAGAGGTTAATATGTGATGATATACACTTACCACAATGAGCCAAGGTGTTAGACCCACAATACTGGCCAGATAATGTCCAATTACATTTAACTTAGTGAAACTGAATTTAAAAATTTGTGCAGAAGCTTTTTATTGAATGACAAACAGATAGTACGAGGATTTGACAAACATTTGCAATAAAATAAAATACTAGCTAAACTGTTTCCCTTTCAAAACATGTTGGCTTTAGTGTCTATTTTCACATGTAAGTGTGAAAGAGGATTCTCTGAAATGAATTTAATAGTCACACAGACTACGTCTTCACTTTTGATATCTACTGCATCCAACCTAATGTTTGTACGAATTGATTGCCCTCCACTCACTCACTTTGATCCAATAAAGTAAGTCAAATTGTAGCTACCCCAAGGTCAGCATTCAGAAGCAGACACCAACAGCAAGGCACAAGAATGTAATGATAGTAACATTAATGAGAATATGACTTGAGTGGAGTCTATTATAAATAAATAGTACTGCCAAAGAAATTTAACAATTTCCATTGTTATTTATTACATGATAAATTTTTAAACGTCATAAGAGGGGCTCTTTTGGATTGGGATGAAGTAACAACTGGAACAGGATGTAGAAAATATAGGAGAGTTCCAGAACCTTTTTTCCCAGAAAAAAAAAAGCACTGTTGATTATTAAACTATGGACATCAACTTTAGCAATGTCAGCAGAAGTTTAATCTACAATTAAGTATTTTAAGATAGACAGAAGTAACTGTTTACAGATTTGTACAGACAAATATTAACAAAGTTAATGTATATTTGGTAAAGCATAGTTTAAATCAAGAGACTGAGAGACCAGTAAATATTTGTTTTCTTCATAATTTAAGGAATGCTATTCTAAATATATAAAGATATAAATGTTTTAAGTGTATTTTATATTCAAGAAGCCCACAAGATCAAGTAATAAACACTATAATGAATTTATACATTTTATATGAGCAATTTATCTTGAGTCAGGTAGTTACCTAGAAAAAGACAAACAACATTACAGAAAACAACTAAATACCATGGTTAAACACTCTTTTAGAGCAAAAAAGTTTCTTTAGGTGATTGTGTGGCACTTCAGATTGGTCAGCAACTTTCAAACAGTTGTACACCTCATTGAAATACAAATTATTCTGAAAATACTATTCCTTTTTTTTAATAAGACTAAGAAAAATAAATGATGTTAAATTATTCACATTACACTAAGTTTACTATTACTATTTTTTTTTACTCCATTAAGATGAAAACCTTTTAAATTACACAGAAGTTCTGGTTTATTTTATTACATTTGGAAGTTACACTTAAATAATTTGAATTTTTTACTAAGTGACCAATACTTAAATTTAAATCCAAATTATATTATTCAAGGGCAATTGAATACTACACCTTTCTATATTGTAATGTTGGAAAAAACATGAAGGTTCCAAAAATCAGTTGAACACAAAGATATGAAACCCTATAACCCAAGTGCTTTCAAAAGGTGGACCTTTCTTCTTCAGGGGCAAACTGAAGAAAGGTCCACCCTTTGAAAGCATTCAGGTGATAGTGTTTTGTATCTTTTTATATTGTGATTTAGAAAGTGAACATTAAATACCTTTCGTTGTATTTCATAGTGAAAAACTTGTGAATTGCACATCATAGATAATACATAAACACCTGGTTTTCGTTTGCTTTTCCGCACTAGAAAAACCCCATCATTAGAACCTTTATTTTGTAGCATGTTTGTGGCCATCTGTAAGAAAATTAAAGTTTGAATGCTGTCACAGGATCCCAATACAGAATTTTTAAAACTAGTAGTTTAGTACATAATGTTTAGTTTGTAACACACAGATATGTACCTGCTTGTCTATTCATCTACCACCTATTTATAGATGAGATGTGTGGCCATTTGATTACAAAATTTTAATATGTTGTTTGTAGCCACAGAAGACACAGTTATTAGTATTAATGTGAGATTCTTAAGAAAATTATTATTTCTTCATAATTGAATAAAGAAAAATATATATATAATTCACTGCTACAGCTTGGTTGATCTAATACTATCTCAGTGTTAAAGTAAAAAAATATGAAGAAATATGAGGAATATATTTTCAGTGAAATAGCTCAGATTGTTAATCTCAAGAACAAGTCATATTATTAAGGTGATAATACATGAAAGCAATATAAGCAGTCTTTTAGCTATTTCTTTAATGCACATTATGTTGCATAACTATTTCTAGTAAGCAGCAATAATAATAGACTTGTATTAAAAAAACAACCCATACAAGAGCAAAGTTTGTCAATAACTCATTACTGAAACATTATTTGTTTTTATTCTTGGTAAAGATGAAGAAAGTTTCACCATCATTGACATTAATCATCAGTAAAACATTTACCATAATGTGAAACCCTATTTATTGATGCCGTTAGATTTCAAATACATGATCTTAATTTTTTTTCTTCTTGCATATAATATATTATTATTGTAAAATGTAAACAAATCAATCTGCTGTTGAAGGTAAAAGTATAATCACACTTTTTCTGTGGTAAGTTTCAAGCTTAGTAATCTATGTATGAAATCCATAAACTTGAAGTAATCAGGATAGAAAAAAAAACACATCAAATTACATGGAGGGCAAAAGGATCTTTAACACAATATCCAGTTTTTAAATATGTACTTATTATCACAATATCATGATGTATAACAAATAGAAGTCATAAGGGTTAGTTATGATGTTCACTCAAGTGTTTTTGTTTGTCACAGAGTTATATGAGAATTTTTATTTAATGCATAAGTAACAAGACAAAAAACTTTAAGCGATATCCAAACTTACTTCTCGATCCAAGTTAGGATGAAACCATTCTGATCGGGAAGTTGTTGGTGCATATGGTGTGTAGTTCTCTGATATGATAGATGAAATTATTCATGCAAAAATAATAAAAAAAAGCTTTTTTTCTAAACTAAAAAATGAAACTATTTATAAAAGAAACTTAGGAAATTAAATTTACAATAAAAAAATATAAAAAATACAATAACAGCTTAAATATAAAAAACAAAACAGATAAAAAGGAGCAAGAAATAGACCAAAATCCTTTTAACACTTTCTACTCAGGCTCGGTAGAATCAATCAAGTTTGTAACCATGGAGTATTCCTTACAGTTTCCATTCTATAACTTTTAACACAGAATTTGTATCTTCACAAAATCTGAAAGACTTTCAGTGAACTTTACATGACTTTTGTATACAAAAAATCAGATTTTTTAATTAAGTATTTTTAATAAAGATTTGTCCATGGACATATTAAGTAGTTTTGTTTACTCGTCTGAGCACAAAGTTATTATAATATCAAGATTAAAAATACATTTATTTATCTGAAAATTTTCAAATTTCTTATTGGCAATTTCTGAAAGAGAGGATGTGATAGGTGGGCATGGCAAGAGAGGTCTAATTTTCTATTCTATAGATTGAAGACTATGAAAATATTATAAGGAGAAAATTAAATCAAATTCCATACTTCTCGGAGGAGTGGTAAATAAATTAGAAAAGAGAGAAGACCTAGAAAACAAATGTCACAATTCTCATACTAGAATGATTGAGGATTGTTAAAAATAATTTAATAGCTTTGTTTGGATGCCAAGCTTATTCATATAATATGATAATAACGTGGTTTAATTAAATTTTAAATGTAATTCAGTAAAACCTTGTAATATGCTTGGAACATGTGCACAAAAAATGCCCGTATAGAGAGGGTTAAAATATATAGTAATGATAATAACACTAAAAAACTTCAAAGGAAAAACCTGTTATTTCTGACATTGTATTACTTCTTTGATGAATACTTTGTTTTGTATCCTTGATAATGAAAAGGATGTGATACTCACCAAGAAAACGGACACAGTCTAGGTGCCCATTTCTTAAGGCCACTTCTAATGGTGTTTCATTATCATTAGATCGTGGATAACAGGGTGCTCCAACTTCAAGCAGTACCTACAAACCATCAAAAGCAATAAATGAAACAAATTTTCTTTACTAAAACTTTTCTGTCAAGGCTTAAATTACTTTTGAAAATTTTATTAGCAGCTTTTGCAAATCAATCTTAAGAATAATTAGCAGTTAGTACATTTTGAATAGCAATGTAATAAATGTCTATTTTGGGACCCTGTACAATACTTGGTGTATACTTTCTTAAGGCATGTTCATGTAATATAAAAGGTGCTTAGTTGAGGAATTTAAAACAGAGAGACAGTAGACAATGTTAGTTATAACAAGGTAACTATTAGCCTTGTTACTGTGTCTGCTAAAACTTCATGACTACAGTAACAAATCTTTAGGTTTAATGAAATGAAAATGATCATAAGACAAATATATGCAAAAGTTTCAATTATAAAAAAAATACCAAACTGATGTTATCATTTAAGGATAAAGAAATTTTTTCTTCATATCTTGAAAATAAAGTCAACACTCAACACAGGTTCATGTCAATTTGACTGACCACGTAAACTCTTTGAACTCATTGAACGTCTTTATAGATTTAATATTTCTAACTTTCAATATAGTTTGTATATCTTCACAAAATTTGGCAGTCTTTCAGTTAATATTATAAGTCTTTCACACATAAAAAATCATATTTTTTAGTCAAGTATTTTTAATAAAATAAAATAAAGATTTGTCTATGAATATATTGAGTTTTTTTAATAGTCCATGTGCAATGTAATTTTTATGTTAAAATTAAAAATACTTTTCCTCATCTCAAAATCTCATATTTCCTTTGTGTAATCTCTAAAACCTCTTAAATACATTTCAAACGTTTTTTTCAGTAAAATTTTATAGTTTATCTGTTATTTTCTCTACTGTATCTCAAAATGGGATTGGTCAATTTGACTGATCTCGAAACCAACAAAAAAAAATAAAAAATCGAAATAAACCTAAATTACCCTTTTTTCTTTCTAGAATGACTTCAAATTGTAACATGAAACTACATTTCTTTATCCTAAGTAGTTTTAAGTTCGTAACAGTATACATCTATTTTATTGTTTTATTGTTCTTTGAACCATGTCTAACTACTATCCATGCCATTATGAATTGTAAATCACTTGGAGAATGTGCAGGTCACGTTATGCTATTGAAATACATTATCCACGAGCAACTACAAGCTGCTCGTGTGTGTGTGCCTCATGAACCATTTTAATTATGTTATTATTATTACTTATTTTACCTAATCTAGTATTAAATAACTTAAAAAATACAAGTATTTTTAGATTTTAGTTACTTTTATAATAATAAATAAAGAATAAATTTGAAAAACAAGAAATAAAGTACTTACCAAATCTTCTTTTTTTCTTGCTCTCGATTGTCGATGACAGTTAGGCCTACTTTTTATACTAATGGTAGTAACACATCAAATAATTTTTATTTAATAAAATAATGCACCAAAAAACCTATACTAACAACCTGCAAAAAGTAGATAATATCCAGTAACTCTCAAATTGTTTCTGGCTTTCTAACTATGCGACAAGAGCCATTACAAATTCATCCAAGCTAGTTGTTAACTTTCCCACAGGAACGATGTTAGTACTCTGAGTAAAATTGACACCTAACTGTTCAGAACATAACATAGATGAAAACCTTGACTCTCTGTTGGTTATAGGTAATGTATAATGAAATGTAAGAGAGAACTACAAACAAATTCGGAAAGAGAGGATGTGACACGTGGGTGTGGTAGGAGGGGTCTGATTTTCTATCTGATAGCTCTGTAAGCAAACAAAACTGAATACTATAAAAATTATGATTTCTCTGAGCATTGATGATTTGATAGAGTAATTTATGTTTAATTTCATACTTTTTCAAGGGGTGGTGGATAAAATAGGGATTATGACATGCTAAGAGAAAATGTGTTACGTGGATCACACTAGTGGAAATTCAGAATTTATTGCCTTGTAGAATTAAAAGTTAAAACTTGTATACTATTAAAATATGGATTATTAGCTAAGATTTTATACTATTCTAATTGGTATAACATAAACAAAAAGTAGTATAATAAAATTTTGAATGTAAGACACTAAAACCTTGTGTCATGCGCAGTGAAGGATACCTGTGGCGATAAGGTTAATATGAGGTCACACTAACTGACAGTCCTTTGATTAAAAGATAAATTGGACTTCAAAAAGTATATATTTCTCATCAATTTCAGTTAGGCTGCTTAATGCACTGCTAGTGGAGAAACTTCCAACCACTGGCTGTATGACATCAAACTTAGGTCTCTTTCCATATGGTTGGACATAATGTCTTCTTGATGTGCTAAAAAAAATGTCTACTGCATCTTTCATAATCAGTGGGTCCCATTTTTTAATTTGTACAAGGTATTCAAGAGTATTAGCAGCAACTACAATCAGTTTTGACCTTGCACATTGTGCTGAAACATTTTTCAACAGCTTCATTTGAGAAAATAAGTACTCTCAAAACTTCCAATAACTTTGTTATGTTAGGGAATTTATCCTGGTAGAAGTGATGAATTCCCTTTCAAACCCCTGATGGAGAAGTGATCTATGTCTGACAATTACTAATAATGAAAATCTTCATTTCATTCTATTCAGAGTCTAAGAACATCATGATTGCATTCCCCTGAAACTCAGTTGAGGTGTGCTGCTGCCAAGGCAACTTTTGCATTTCCATATCCAGCCAATAAGTTGCTGTCATTTGGCCAAACCTCTGATGGAGAAGTGATCTATGTCTGACAATTACTAATAATGAAAATCTTCATTTCATTCCATTCAGAGTCTAAGAACATCATGATTGCATTCCCATGAAACTCAGTTGAGGTGTGCTGCTGCTAAGGCAACTTTTGCATTTCCATATCCAGCCAATAAGTCGCTGTCATTTGGCCAAAGCCACGTGTCTAGAATCTAAGCACAAATAAAAATGTTTTTCTCATGGTCACCTAGTGTTTTAAAACAAGATTCACAACACTGGTGATAGTTTCATGTTGGGGAAAACAATATATGATAAAAATGAAGATTACTAACAAAACACAAAAGATTTTATTTACAAGGTTTGAACATTTTGGAATACACTTATTCCATCTTCAGTGAAATCTGAAAATAAGTGTTACAAAGATATTTATTAACTACAACTATAGTATCATTAATAACTAGTTATTGAGTAAAGCAGTAAATAGAAGGATAAAAAAAGTATAATTGTGTTACAGTTGAGTTTTAGGTATCTAAATTTAGAATAATTTTTAGGTCTAGAGGTTTGTAAGTCAGTAACAGTAGAGCAGTCTTTAGCTTTTAGTAAACTTTCTTTATTGTAGAGTTCCTGTTGAAATGGTAAAGAAATTGTTATACGAAACATTGTGATCTCTGGTTTCAGCACGTCAAACAGGCTGGATTTAAGTAATGGATGATCAAGTTCTGTCTGATACTTCTAATGTTCACAGACTCTAGTTTTCATGTGGCTTTTTTTGCCAGTGTAAGTGACCTTACAGTCACTACACACATATTTATACATGAGCCATGAACATAGAAGTTTAGTTAGTTGATCTTTATATTGAAACAAGAGTTTAATGTGGAGGCTGCATCTGTATGTTCGTCTGAGCTGAATTTGAGGGTAGAAGTTTTTTTTTTTATCAAAGAGAAGAGTTGTTTTTTAATTTGTAAGGACTGTGATCCCATAAAAGGAAGGTAGATAATGGGGGAAAATTTAGGGATGGTGTGAACAGTAGCAGGTGGTTGGAATTTGTTGTTTAGGAAATTGGATGTAATATTTGTTAGAAAGATAGCCATTATTGTTTGTGTTTGTGCAGAAGTGTAATTTCTCTGTGTAAACTAGAGTAAATCGAGCAAAGTCAAAAATTCTGTTTGACAGTGACATGACTATTAGGTTTGAAGAAGCTGGGGATAAAACTATTAAAATTAGTATAAAGACCTGTAAAAGTGCTTTTACAATAAACAAAGATAGAAATGTGTTTACCTTCTTTAGCAATCCTGATGTCTAGGAATGGTAAAAGATTCATTTTATTCAAGATCGAATGTGAACTTGATATTGGGAATTAAGGTAAGAAAGAAATTTAGAAATGTGACTTTACTGTTGAAACAGCAAGAAAGCATCATCAACATAGTGTCTGTAGAAGACAGGTTTGAATTCACATGGTCAGTTTTCTAGCCACTTGTGTTCATGATAGCATAGAATACTATTTGCTATCATCGGATCCAGAGGGGATCCCATGGTGATTCCATCCGTCTGGCCGTAAGTGATGTTAATAGCGAGAAAATGGTTTAACTTTGTGGAGAGGGGAAGAAATTCCAAGAATTCTTTACAGGTGGAACCAAGATACTGCTCAATGTCAGAATGAAAGAGAAAGCCCACAATTAAATTTAAGGTTTTATCAAGGGAAATACTAGTATAGAGATTTCAATATCAAAGCTGGTCACAACATACTGATCAGCAGAGGGAATTTTATAGATTTCAGAAACAAAGGTAATGGAATTGTTAATAGTAAATTCATTCAAAGTGAAGGGTTTAATAATAGGAATGATAAATTTGGAAAGATTGTAGTAACTGCAGGAGCTTACAACCAAGAGAACAGGATGGAGAGAGTATCCAGTTTTGTACACTTTGGGTAGGCCAAAAAGAATGCTGGATTTTGCACCACATGGGTTAATTTGTAGAAAAGTTGTTTCAGAGATAATATTTTGATTTTTAAGGGTTTTGAGAAAATGTAGGATTTTATTTTCTCTCTTAAAAGTTAGGGATAGCAAGTCTGTGTCTAGTTTTTTAACTTACAAGTCATTGAGCTGGTGGTTTATTTTATCAATATAATCAGCTTTTTTCATAACAACAATACCATTGCTCTTGTCCAGTTTATTGAAAAATAATATCTTTGTTTTTTGACAGAGTTTTAAGAGCTTGTAGTTCAGCATAATTTAATGAAGAAGTAGCATCTTTTTGGCATGCCATGCCATGGAAAGCCTTAACAATGGATGCAGAAGTATTTCCAGGAAACGTAAATGCACTATAAATGAGAATTTTGTAACCTCTGTCAAGATTCCTTTAATTTTGTTGTTGTTTTCATTCACAGTCATATATTCCATGTGACCACAGACAAATGAGTAGCACTTGAGCAGCTGTTGGGATGCTAACATTTTGTGCTGAACTGTTTGGGTTCCATTTTCATTTCTTGGTTTTGTGACCTGTTCCTCCATAATAGTACCAAGCTCATGAAGTTCATGCAAATTATTCTTTACTATTCTTGTACAGATAATAGATTACACCATTTGCACCTAATCCTAAAGGTTTATATTCAAAATCAGTGATGCCCATTTCCTTAAAAATGTTGTAAATCATTGCTTTCATGCCCTCCTCAGATCCATCAGAAATGTCTTGCACTTTAATGAGCTTGAATTCAAATTTCCATTGTTTCCAGTGAAAATGATATAAAAAAAGTTCTTTTTATGAACACTTGTATCAGTACTGCCATCTGTTAGCAAGTAGAAAATTTGCTGTTTGACAGATAATTTGTTCAGTAGATACTGGCTTAGTTTATGATAGCCTCAATAACTTGATTCTTACAGCATGACAACAGATACAGTCCTTACATGTAATTGTTTTAATGTTTTATGCATTAAAGGTGAAAGTGTGTAAATAACAGCTGATGATATAGTATTTTATTCTATTCCTTACATGACTCTTTTAATGATTAGCAGTAAGTGCAATAAAATATCAAACTGATTACACAATGCAATACCAGTTATAATTAACCCATATCTGTATATATTTTTAAGGTTTACCGAAACATATCATAAAAAGTAATACAAATGCATCAATACACTGTAATATTCTTTAATAAAAACAATACTAATCTATTAAAAACACAGAAAAATCTATGTAATTTACACACACATGCATTATATATATATATATATATATGCATATACTGACACACAAAATCTCATCCTCAAAATGTTTTACAATTTAGAAATTAAACAAGATCTTTCAGTTCTATCTATAAGGAACAGATTTTCTTAAGGTAACTTCTTGCTTTTCAACTGAATTTTTCTAACAGTAATATTTATTTTTTGAGCTTATATTTTAGCTCACTTAAAACCTGCACCAGTTATAATACTTTACCTACAATTTAATTCATATGTCATTTATTTAATGAAAAAAAAATGCTTTCAAGACTTACCTGAATCACTGTTAAATGGCCACTGTTTGCTGCTTCATGCAAAGGCACCCAGCCATTTTCAATAGCTCGGCACTGAACATTGGCACCTCCTTCTTCAATCAGCAACTTGGCAGTGGAAGCATGATTAAGACGACAAGCATACTATGAAAGAAACACTGAAGTGAATGCTTTATAAATGAAAGCAAACATGCAAGATTCAAAAATTATATTGTTTATTGAAATGGTAATATTTTTGCTTTACAAATTTATAGTACAGATTGAGAACAATTGTTGTTCCTGCTGAAGGTCATCAAGAAATTAATGTCGGATTTGGAACACTTTGATTAACCACCCCCCAAAAAACATAAATCATGTATAATAGTTAAACAAACCACCTAATGTCACGTTAGTGTAGCCTATATAATGTGTAAATTTTAGTATACTCTAATCCCTTATAGTGATGCCATATGATGAGACACATTTGGCATGTAATGCTGTGTGAATACAAGAAGGGAAAGAACACCACTGTAGCCACAAATAATATCAAATGAGTTTATGGAAATGTTTTGAACATTTGTAAGTGTAAATGATGGTTCAGCAAATTTCATTCAGGTGACTTTAGCCTTAGAAACTGTGATGGCAGGGGCCAGCATGTTGAAATTGATATTGATGCTCTGAAGATGCTTTTTGAGTCTAACCCAAGGCAACACACTTGTGAAATGGCACTGAAATTGCATGTTTCTCATGAAAAAATATGTAAACATCTAAGGAATTTGGGAAAACCCCATAAAGAAAGTGTTTGGGTGCTTCATGAACTCTCCAGAGACCATTGTTTCCCACGTGTGAACATTGCTTCGTCTCTTCTGGCGCATAATGCACATGAACTATTTTTGGACAGAAGTGTCATCGGTGATGAAAAATGGATTCTCTATGTGAATATTAAATGCCAAAAACAATGGCTCAGTCCGAGACAAAAACCTGGACTCCATCCGCATAAAGTGATGCTTTGCATTTTGTGGGACATCAAAAGAGTAATTCATTTCAAACTCCTCAATCCACAGTGAACTGTCAATGCAGAGATCTACATCAGCAATTGGAATGTTTAAATCAAGCCCTTCATCATAAATGCCCTTCACTTGTCAATCGGAAAGGTGTTCTTCTTCTCCACAACCATGCACATCTACATGTGGCATGTTAGAAGCAACATAAGATTATGGAGTTGGGTTGGGAGTTCTCCCCTACCTACCATATTTTCCAAATATGGCACCATCAGATTACCATCTATTTAGTTTGCTGCAACACCATCTTAATGGGAAAACATATGTAAATGTGGAAGGTGTTAAAGAGGACATAGATATGTTTTTTGCTTCAAAGCCAAGTGATTTCTTTAATCAGGGCATTAAGAACCTGATTTTAAGATGGAAAAACATGATCAATAAGAATGGAGATTATTTCATACAATAAATGTTTTGTTTTGATATACAAGTTGTTTGTGGTTTTTCATCTAAAAAAAAAGCAACATTAATTTCTTGATGACCTAATAAATATTGCGTAATAAAATTTGTTATATATTTGGTGCAAACACTAATTGACTTCTAGGGGGAAAAATGCTTGCTTACAGCATGGGAGACATTGAAATAACCAACTTTCTTCAAACCTTTAAATCTACAATGGAGAATATTATGACATAAGGAAGAAAAGCATGTCAATCAAAACTTAAAGAGTACATATGGTTGAGCTGTGGTGATCAGGTTTTGTGTTATGTTTAGCAGCCTATAACAGTCACCTAAGTCTAATTATTAATTAATTATTTTTATTTATTGTAACTAGATACTGATTAGTTTTTATCATATGATTCAGCTGCTAATCTGCTGCCACCTTCAGGGAGGTTTTGAAAAGGAGTATTTCCGAAATGTTAGCGGATGGGAGTCAATTCTGGATCTTCTTGACTGAAAGCGCCTTGTGTTATCCACCTGACTGGAATAGAGCTGGGCAATTAATTCAAATAATTAATTATCTATGAGCATAAATTACATCAATTAGTGTCACATAAAATAACTGACTAGCTGAAATGACTATTAAATCAATTAACATCATGGAAATAAAATTAATGTTTCTAATTATTACTGTTTTTAATTATCCCAATTATCCAAGTAATCAAAATACTGCCATTATGATTTCTCATTATTATTTTCAGTTAATGTAAGACTATTCAGCTTAATTGATTACTGTCATGGCTCACAAAAATAATCGACTAATTAGAATTTCTGGTTATTTCAACTATCCAAGTCTTATGAGAATAATCAATTAGTTGAATGTAATCAATTAATGTGGCTGAGGATTAATTGATTACCAATTTCCATTAATCATTCTGCTATATATGTCATCTACCTCAAAGAACTTGAATTAACTAAGTATTTGAATGTTTTCAAGAAGGGTATCCAGGTTTTGCTGACTTCTGTGCTATCTATGCTGAGTGTTATCAGTTTATACCTGGATGTAGAAGACTTTGATATTTCTTTTTCTTATGTACAGTTGATATACAACTATTCTAGTAATATTCCATTTTATTGCATAGTCTTCTTCTCTGGCTTGATGGGCTACTGCATTTTAATTGGTATTATCAAGTCTTGTATGTTTATTACAAACCTAAGTTCTAGCTTTTATTGGTCTTTTGTAAATGTTTTTCCATTTTATTTGGCTCTTTAGTGTTTTGCTGTGCATTAACTATAATATTGTGTTGTGGTTTCTGTAATAATATTCTGACTTTACAGTGGATTAATCGTGAAGCAGTTTTTGTTAATCAAATTGAATAGGCAATCTTGAATGCCAAATCTGTAAATTATTATCCCATTTAACTCCTTATCACTTATGTTTTAATTTGTTATAAATTTCTTCATATGTATATATTTAATATTTGTTTCTTCTTTTAATATTTTAAACATACAAGCATCTCTCGATTTAAAAAAAAGTTTTGTATCTATTTTGTTTCATCTTTAAGTTTGACTTCTATAGTTGAAATTCAATTATTTTTTACTGAACAACCATATAGAGCTAGTTAATAAAAATGTGCCCAAATTTATTTTAGCCTTATTGCAATATGACATCACAACAATTGTAACAGGTCATGTTTCATCAGCTTAGGCATTATTTATACACCATAATAAATGTGAAAATGTAGTAGTTTTATCCCAATAAGAAAAATGAAAGCCTAATTTTGCTCTAAAAATCTCCAAAAGATAACACTGTTAGCAAACACTGAATTCCAATTCTTACTCTCTCTTTTTTCATGTATATCCACAAACTGTTTCATAATGAGAACTAAAAATAATTATCCACTTCCTAACTATTATCAGAATGTACCTGTACACCATCAAACTACTAGGCACCACTGAACATGGTTTGAGTAAGATTAATTCATTGACAGTGTTTATATAATAATGTTTTACTTTTCACACCTGTTTTAAATCACAAACACTCATTTCAATCCAATCAAATGTAGTAAATGACCAGTATAGTGTAATAATATCATTCAAACATTTTGCAAGTTTGAAAATGATAAAAAAATTTCAAAAAAGATTAGAATTAAGCAGTAAAAAAATAGAAACAATTATATATTGATGAAAAAATTAGTGATCTGACTGGTGCACTTCAAAGAACATAGCATTTTGTTATAACTAGAAATTTAAAGTCGAATATACTACACTATTAGGTTGTGAAATATATAAATTCTAATTTTCTTTTTTTCAGTAGCGGTGTTAAACAACCTACAAATCTCTAGTCATATTATGATGTTCAGACAGATATGTTTAGTATATTTAAAAAATTCTTCAAGGTAAGGAGAAACTGTTGTTTTACACTCTCTTAACAAACATCAAAATTAGATATTATTTATCTACAAACTAGCAGAGACCTGCAAAATATTTGGGGCCAAATTAAAATCTTTATTGCAACTGTACTTCTTCAAATACAGACTTTCTAGAGTAATACACAAAAATTCTAATCACAGACACTGAAATCTATAAATCCACTTGTCTTAGTCCAAATATTAGTTAAGCCTTTATTAAGTACAGCCTATATTTGATAAAGAGATAAATTAATGCCGTAACTTGTTTAAATTTTTTGCTTTAATTCAGTTAAGGCTAAACCTTAACCGCACTTAATATCATCAGTAAATAATCTTCTAATATTATTGTACGACCAAACATCAGACCTTTTAAAAACTTTGATAAGCTTTAAATACGTTGTGTAAAATGTCTATTAAAGTATATTTATGCCCTTTCTGGCATAACTTGACAATTTAAGAAAAAATATGTTTCCAAATTATGAAAAAGGTGCAATTTTTTGTATATTTGAGTCCAAATATATCTTTAATTTTTGATCAATCATAGACTACTTGCTTCTAATTGATGGGAAGCCAAACTACTTAAATTAACTAACAAGTTGGTATGACATCATTGTGTGACCGAGAGACACACAGAAAGATACACACAGTGTTTTATAGTATTAAATTTTCAAAGAAAAAAAAATTCTGATAAGTACATACATGTAATGGAGTGAGACCTTTGGCATCTTTGATGTTGACGTTAGCACCAGCATCCAACAGCATGTCAAGAATTTCATTGTTTCCATTGATACAGGCTAAATGCATAGCACTCTGTCCTTCTTGGTTTTTAGCATCTAAGCTTCGATAGCATGATTTTAGTAACTCTCCAACCACCATCACATCCCCTAAAATGTGTCAGTAATGGAAAAACTTTTTGTAATCATAATCAATATCAATGTAAACTTTTTTTTAGCAGAATATAATGGTATTAAGAGAGAAAAGAATGTGTGGAAAAAACTTAATTACATGGAAAGTGAAATTAAATATGTATTCTATGTTCACAGGTACTAACTTTCAAGACACAGGTAGAAGTTTTTTGGCAATACAAAAAAAATTTCTAAAGGATAAGTGTTCATATATTTAGGTCATTTAACACCTAAATATCGATTTTTGTATGTCATGTGGTTTGTTGAATGCAGCATTGGTTCAAATTAGATGTTTGTGATGTCCAAATATAAAGTCTATAGTTTCTTATGCATTAAGAACTCAAATTCCGATACTGAAGAATATAAAATAAGATATTTTCTATTTACTGAATCCAACACAGTGGCCCTGGCCACCTCCTTCCACTTTTGTAAATGCTTACGTACACCTACTTCTGTCTATGACATGTGAATAACTAATTGAAAGCTCAGAATGTCCCCCTAGTTCAGCCTCTTTGAAGTATTCAGGTGGCAAACTCTTTCTTTTCATGCTAGATTACAAGTGGTAAGGTAAGACTTTACTGTGTTGAAGTATTATGACAGATCTTTGCAATACTGATTTTGGCTGAAAAAGTTCCAGGAAAGAAACTATGTTAAGTGTAAAATGATGTTACCTCCAAGAAAGTGAAGAACTTTAGTAACACTGCTCATACTGTATCAGCTTTTAAATAGTCAAGTGAGAGTTTTTGTATTCAAACTGTAACATCTGTGTAATTGCCCTTAATTATAAATATGGGTTGTCCACCATTTCTTATAGCGATCCTCACCCACTACAAACATTATAAATGTTGGCAGTTTTTACTAGGTGTCTTATGGGACACCTTCGAAGTGAAAGTAATTGAGGTTAAAACACATTCTTATGAATAGATAAAATGGAGTAGGCAAAGACAGGAGCTTTGTTCTTGTTTGGTCAGTTTGGCTTATTGTGTGGGATGCATATATATAAATAAGGCCCTTGAAGGTAAATAGTAGTTTGTGTTAGTCATGTGGTCCTATGTTACAATCTTAAATTAACTCACAGAAAATGGCTCAAAGGAGCATGAAGCTATGTGTATTTTGGTGTTCCCTGAGTAAGTGGCCATATTTCACATAAAGTGCTAAGTACCAACTGCCTACTAAGTGTTAAATTTGGAGGTGAAAGAAAGCCATACTTGTAAACATTTATGAACAGTTATTGGCATAGAACATGTAAATTTGTCCCAAGTTTAATGATTTTCTCTTGCTCGGTATGTAATATCTGAACACATTTGATAGCAACTAATACGTGACTGTTACTGACAGGTCAAATGACAATTTTTTTTATTGGCCAAATACCCAAACATAGTTTAAATTGGGGTAACAAGAGTATGTACGTTATATTAAAATTTGATTAAACCTGTTTTCATCTACAGGATGTAACTGTTTTAATGTACATGAATAATAAACAGTACTATTATGAGTTTTCTCTTAACACTACTGTTGTTTGACATTTCAGTCAGGGGTGAAATTCTCAAAAAAAAAGTAGAGGTACTCAGCTGGGTGAAGTGGATCTGTTTTTGAAAAAGAAAAAAATATATGTGTGTAAACATAAAAAAATTACAATTTGTGTGTCAATGAATAAATGCTTTTAAAATGTACATATATAAGTACACAGCAGCTCAAATAAGTCCTTGTACTCGTAACACCTTAAAACATTAGTTCTGGTACTCAGTTACGGTGATTACCAGCAGAATTTCACCCCTGACTTTAGTTAATCCTTTTATCAAAAAATATTAAATAAAGAGTAGAGCTATACAATATTTGAACTCCTATTATCACTAAGAATGTATTTAAATCCCTAGTTAAAGAGCAGAAATTTGAAATGATAATTGCAGACTTATTATAACTGTCCATTTGACAACAAAGCCAAAAATGATAAAAACATATACTCTTTTCACTTAAAGACCACACAATAAGTAGGAGTTGTGTTATCAGAAAATACATGTTAATTATACAGACTATACTTTCTATTACACCTGGTAATGTATACAAATGCAACACATAACCTACTAAAATACACCTATGTACTCATACCTAAGGAAATATATTCATATCATAAATAGTCAGACAGTGATATGACACATAACAACATAGTTCAGAATTATTAGTCACATTCTTAATGCAGTGTAATTAATTCTTCGAGAGCAATACCTCTTCTTCGAAAAAATAATTATCTATTACTGATACATTTTTTGGTATTCACTGAAAACAGAGCTGTCATTTTTGAACCCAATTTGTAATTTTCTAATAACTTAACAATGAATTCCTCACCTTCCTGTGTGGCTCTATGTAACAAATTACTCCGGCCATGTTGTCTGGTATCTGGAGGAGGAGGTTGGGCTTTACACATAACACGAAGTTGAGTCACAAGTCCATCTGCCTTCTTCTGGTAATAATCAATTAAAACTTCCAAGCCTACCAATAAAGGAAGAAAAGAGAAAACATACCCTTTTTTTAAATCTGCTGATATTCCTTCTTTAAGCAATTGCCTTTTTGATCCACGTTAAACAATGTGTTAATTAAAAGAGATAAAATGGGAAGTACAATTTTATTTTCATTACAATGAACAGTTGTAATATTAGAATAATAATTAGGAAAAATAGTGAAAAATATCATTAGAACTCTATTACTATTTGACAAAGACATTGAAAGGTAATATGTTGAGAAATATAAATCTTGTGATATTTTCTTACCATGCATTACAGGCCCTTCATCAATGCTAAAGAAGGCATCTTCACCATGGTGACGAATTTGATAATGAATAGGTTGACCATGACTTATAAGGCTAAGAACATAATCACCCACAGCTGTGGTGCTGTCTCGAACTAAGAATTGACCTTCAACGCCCCCATCTAAAATTATAAAAAGTTTAAAAAAACAAAATGTATAAGATATAACTTGCTAAAAATGTTGTAAGTATCTTCATGATTCCATTAGGATAATTTTTAGCTACAAATACAAACAGTATTTAATTATTTCAATACTTCCAATACTTTACAGTAGTGCCTTATCAACATGTTCAAACATTTTATGAAACCAGACAGTATTTAAGTAAAATCAAGCCTAATGAAAACAAAGCAATCAAAACTTTATGCCCTAAAACTAAAATAGAAAAGGAGGAAAAAATTGAATAATAATAATAATAATAATAACTTAAAAAAAATGTGCTAAGAAAATCCTACTGATAGCCAGAATGTGTTCTGCAGCATCTCTTGTAATCTTTCCATGATACCATGCAATATTCTCATCTTGTGATACTCTTGATATGGATTTCAAAAGTGGAGGTGGAGATACTTTCTGGAGTTCTTTATCTTCGTCTTCAGATGGCTCCATCTCTGCTCAACAGCCACAGCCAGTCACCTTTCATCTAGAGTAACAAATCACCAATACACAAATTTAATGTTTAAAAATAACTTTCTCACTGCCAGATATATATACTTAAAGATTTAACTTGTTAACCCTATCATGTGTCAAAGGCCATGTTATCGCATTTGTTGACTTGCATTCAATATTATATTGAACTACTATTTTATATATCTGTGTCAATAAGTTTGGTATTAAATTGTAGATTATAATTCAAGTTTTAATATTATATGTTAGTTAATTTCTTAATTTAAATGTAAGTATTAAAAAACACACCTAAACATCGATTTGTTTGTGTCAGGTGTTATGTTGAAAGCAGCTGGTTCAAATTAGATGTTTGTGATGTCAAAATATAAAATCTACAGTTTTGTATGAATTAGGAACTCAAACTACCAATATTGACAAACTAGAATATAAAATAATAATGGTCCCTTATATACACTTACATCTATATATGACATAACCAAACCAATCAAAAGCTCAGAATGTCCCGCTAGTGGTTTTCTCGGCCATTTTGATATGTTATTGTGCTAATTTCGTTCTTTTCACACAAGATTTCAAACAATGAGGTAAGTCTTTAGTGAGCTCGAAATTTCATATTTTTTGGACCCAAATAAAGCTTAGTTTCTACACTTGATAAATTATAGTGGAATTCTATGGTATTGATACAGTAATTTATGATTTTGTTGTTGTTAAATATGTATATATAAAACCTAAAATAATTTCTTTTCACATCCTCCACATGGGAAATTTCATAAGGCTCAACAACCTACAACAAACATCAAGCTAGTACAAAGTTTGTAACTAGAAGAGATAATTGTTTGCTTAACTTCTTTATTTACTGTTCTAATAATTTTGCATGTTGGATAGTCAACACTCTGAAAAAAAAAAAAAGGTTTATGAGAAAATCTTTCATTAAAAAATCTTAATACTTAATTTAAAAACCTGATATTTTGTAATGTTTACCAATAACCTGCAAAAATTTTGTAAAGATGTGCATACATTATCAAAAAATTATAATTACTTTCGTGGTTACGGGCTAACTGTCAGTGAAATTCACAGGCCAAGTAAACCTTTGGATAAAATTAAAATTTAATGAAACTTATACGTAGAAGTTAAAATTTTCATAGCATTTTAAAATTACTTGGCCAACCATAAAAAAAGAAAACATTTCCGAAATTCTAAAGTTAACATTTTCCTAATATGAAAATGTACTTCTGATAGATACTCATCTCTTCACACAAAATAGCTGTCTTTCTCATGCTTTTGCCTAAGAGACTCGCATGGCATTAACCTTGAGGCAACTCACACCTAATTTTCTTTGTTTAAACGTGACCTGTACCGGTGCATGATGATGTCATGTGACAAAAGCCCTTCACCAGTAGGAGAGTGACACAATTTCCATATGCAGTAGCTCTCCCTATGCACTTGCAGTTAAGATAACTTTATTCGTTGATGAGGTAAGACAAAAAACAGTGCACCAGAAGTATGAGGTCAGTATCTATTGGAAATACATTTTCAGATTATGAAAATATTAACTTCCAAGATGATAACTCACCTCCAAACATAGACCAGCTAGAAGCCCATGTTGAATTGGTAGAGGGCTGGTGCAAAATTTTACCAAGATGAGTTCTCTTCAGAAAATGCCCAAAGGAAAGCCCAAGGAGTGTGAAACCCTATGGCCTGGGGGCACACCTATGGGAGACTGCACCTCATCTTGATCAGGGTATCTCTTTGCCTGGAATGTACGAGGAAAAGAAGCAAAAAGCTCCATGAGTCACAGGCATGGGCAGAATGAGAATACGATTGCCCAATATATATATATACACACACACACACACACACACACACACCACGTGGGTATGCCACCAGTGGTCTTGTGGAATACCTCATCTCTTCAATGAGCATTATACTGCACTTAATAAATAGTGTGGGTTTGAGGCATAACTGACCAGACAACACCCACCACAGAGCAACCCACCACCCCAGTCAAAGGCAAACGGACATGTGTAGAATCACCATGGGAGGTATAATGATATCCATCTGAGGAAGATACAGCCATATCGTGCAGATGAGTGATGAAGGTATTGGGAGTAGTCCACATTTCGGCCTGTACCATCTCCTCTAAAGTATAGTGAATGCAAGCAGTCAAAAACATGGAGATGCGACAAATTTGATGAGAAGAAACGTTGTGGAGATGGTGACCTTCCATGGATAAGTTTGAGTATGCCAGCCCAATTGGGTGGACAAACGCAAACAGCATGAAAGGTGATAGATTATGGTAAAGGGAAAGGTTCCAGGGAATAAAAAATCAGGAACATGAATCCTGAAAGGAGGCAGTACATGCCACATAACACCCAAGAAGTGAACCCTACAAAGAAGCATATAGGATCAGAATGGGAGTACAGGTATATGGAAGGTATATGACAAGCTAAGACTATCATGTGATGACTATGGACCTAGAAAAGGATATCCAGGGTGTGAAAACATAGAAGCCTGGATTTGGTACCCCTTACTTGGTGTTACAAGGGACAACTGTGGAGTCGTTGAAGTGTGCCATAACTACCCTCCCCCAGAGGAGAGGAAGGAAGTGGGACAACGCTTGATAAACTACCATAGGTTCGAGAATGTTGATATGGAGAGAATGACTCCTTGACCAACCAGAGACTGGAAATCTCCCAAGCATCGAGGTAAGCACCCCAAACGTTCATGAACAGATGTAAATCTGGACGAGGTGGGGGAAGCAGAACCCATGCATGGTCTGGCCCCTGTCAAACCACCAAGCCAAGTCAGCCCTGATTGGAGAAGGAAGGGTAAAAGGGTGGGCCAAGGGATCCAAGCAGAAGTTCTACTGATCGAGGAACATTCACTGAAGGAAGCCCACATCCCCAAAAGAGATAGAACCTCTCGAGCTGTGAGAGAATGCGAGATGAGGGCCTTGTGGACTGCTTGCTCCATATCCCAAAGATGAAGAGGAGAATGTTAGTCCCGACTAAGATGGAATTGAAGAAAAAACTCAAATGAGCAAGATATTGATTGGGGGGGGGGGTAAGAAATCCCACCTGTGCTGCTTGTAGGAACAGACGAGTGTGGTCTTTGGACTATGAATGGAAAGAAGCAAACAGGAGCCACTCATCCATGTAATGGTGACCCACTGAGTGAAGATTTCGGGCAAAAGTTCTTACCACCCAACAAACCACATAAGGATCAGAGGTTATTTAAACAGTAGGACTCTAAACTGGAACACTAGACTTATAGCTATAAATAACTATTTATGATTTGGGTACCATGAGGATGTACCCTGAATCAGATTCTAGTATCAAGAATATAGGAAATGTAGCTAAAGTAAAGCTCAGCAATGTAGCAGTGCAAAAACATTAAATCCTACACTGATGGAAATTAGGTTTATAAGGCTTGTATTTAACAATGACAAAAAACAAGTTATTCAGATAGAACAATGAATTAGATGTTACTAGTAGGAATGATATGTAAAGTAAAAACTATCAACACATACATAGTTGACAACGTACTCATTAACCCAATAATCATGGCCACCCCTGTACTACACGTCACAAGATTTTACTTTGTTACATTTAAAATTCAATTAAGCAATCTACCTATCAATGTACAACAATGAAATTACCATTAAAATTTATATTATAGTTCAAAGTTTTATATTATCTTAAAAGAAACCTTACAGAAAAATTCTTAAGCTTCAGTTCGGCACATAACTTCAGTTAGCTACTTCAAAAAGTTTTAACGTTTGAACTTAAGAAGGATTTGAATACATTAAACCTTCCATACATATATTTCTAGGTTAATTGCTCTGTTTAGACATTCTTCTTTCAAGTTCCAATGTGAAGAGAAAATAGAAATAAATTTCTTAGAACTTTTGACAGATGTCACACCAACTCTACACATACAGTTATGTGCTCTCAACCAATTATACATAGTTGAGCTAGATGTTTGTAACCAACAGAAAGCCACATTTTGAAACATTATTTCCCATTAGTGCTTTTAAAATTGCCACAAAAATTCCATAGAGAAATTGTCAAACACTCTTAGTATTGTTTTTTCTTCAGGTTTAGTGTAGTAGACAAATGTCCCAACATTCTGATGACGGCTAAAGTGTTGATACTAAGGACATCCTGAGGACACCCATTGATGTGTTGAAACAATTAGTAATGCTACATGACAATAAAGGAAAATAAAACATCTATAATAAACTTTCTGTGAAAAAAAAGTAAAAACTTACAAAATTTTAAGAATATAAACAAAGAACTAAGATAATTCAACAAAAAATTAAAAGGTATGTACATTTTTCTATTTTTAATTATAAACATTTCACTGCACAATACGTTGATGATAATACTCATAATATTCAGTCTGAGTGTAGATAATTACAGTACAAAAATAACCAATCTTTAATTAGAATACTTAATTTAAACAATCTTATTCTTTGTGTAGAAAATACTTATCTTTAACAAAATCTTGCCAATTTTTATGAAGATATGTTAAGAAAGCTCAGAGTTATTGTAAGTATAGTTGAACTGTGTATCATTCTGCATACAAGCTATGTCCAAATGGACCTACCTCTAACCATTGAAATTAGGATCAAACAGACAAAACATCAACATTTTCCTAGTTTACAAAGTACGTATTAATAACGAATCTGTAAATTTACTAAAATTACCTAGAAAACAAAGTAATAATCAATATCTAACTTCAATAAATTTAAATTAACTTAGATGACAAAGGACACATAAATATCTAACTTACCAAAGTAAGAGCACTGATGACATGAAATACTTAATTCTCCCATGTGTAAAAAAAGGACAACACACTTACCCTGGGTATCACAACCAGGTACAAACTGAGGTATCTGAAAGCAACAGGAAGAAAGGAAAAGGAAAACAAACCTCCACCAAAGGGAATGACATGGAGGCAGCAACAGGAAAAAAAATAGTGAAATCACCCTCATCTCAAACATACAGAAAAACTGAACGTGTGTCAACCATCAATCTGAGTAACCAGCATTAATAAGCTTGTAGAAAGTGTAATCTCTGGAAGAGGTGTGGAGTTTGACAGACCAAAATTAAAAGGTGTCGGAAAAAATAAAGTCCAAATAAATGGAGTCAAACTGAATTGAAGATGCAAGTGGAATGGCTCAGTGGTTCTGTGCTAGGTCCTTACTGTATCTGATATATTATTAATAATATTGATAAGGGAATGGTAAAAAAATTGATGAAGTTTGATGATGATATTAAAGTTTTGTGCATTGTTGACTGTGAGGAGAATACTGTTTTTCAAAAGTACTTGGATCATTTGGTGAATGGGCAAATAAAAGGCAGATTACATTTAGTCATACCAAGTGCAAAGTAATGCTATAACACCTTGATGGAAGTTAACTCAATAGTGTTATGGAAGAAGAGGATTTTCATGTTTTGTTTAATCACTCTTAACTTAAGCCTTCCAGACAGTGTGATGTTGCGAATGGAAAAGTAAATAGGATATTGGGTTTTTATCTACAGGAATATTAAATACAAACCAAAGACTGTTATTTCTTTGTATACATCCCTGGTTAGGCCTCACTTAGTGTACTGAGTTAAGTCCTACTTTCCTTATTTTAAGAAGGAAATCCATTGAGTTGTTGAAAAAGAATCAAAGATGATCAATAGGATGGAGAGCTGTGAAATGGGAATATTTTAAGGTCCTTCAGTTACTTTTTGTTTAGAATAAAAGAGTTAAAGGGAATCCAACTGAAGTGTTCAAAATTATAGATGGAATAGATAGGATTGATGCATTATATTTGTTGTGTTTAATGGTAAGATTGGTAAGCCTAGGGGACATAAAATATAAGATTTTGCAGGGTAGAAACCATCTCTGCAAACCAGGTAACTTATTTTTTGAACAGTATGGTCAACCTCTGGAATAGGTTGACTTCTGAAATGGTAGATGCAAATTATGTGATAAGATAGTTGATGAAATAATGGGAGTCATGATAGACTAAGGTGCCCCTTGTTGTCCATCAAATATTAAAACATTCTATTATTTTCATCTTGCCACAAGAGAAGTTTTATCATCATATGTACAAGATGTAATTAAATAAGCTACACAATTAAGCATTATGTTGACATGCCCATTATCAGTATTAGTGTTAAATCCTTAACTTAATTAGGCTTACCTGTTATTGTCAATATTATGTTACTAATAATGAGAAACTTAAAAATGTTACATTTCATAAACAGTTGTTTCAATTTTCTAATATTAGTTCCGTTCAAACATCAGCTACTTCAATCACTGTTAACAGTTCTACTACTATGGTTGTAAAACTGAGTAATATGCTTGATTTTCATTTTTTTATAATGTTTAATTTTGATGATATTCTACTAAGAAAATTATAACGTTGTTTCACCTTCAGTGACAATCTGATCTTACTTCACTTATACTTATGATAACTTAGTGGTTATAAGCAGGACTGGGTCATGATTATTTATGTTGGCCTAAGATGTTTAACAGGACATGAAAGCAAAGTGTTCTGAGTTTTTATACAAGCCAAATGTAGGTGAAAGTTTGTATATATACACAGCGTGGTCACAAGTAAATAGACACCTAATTTTTCGTTATTTAACTGATTTATGCTAACTAATTTGTGTTCACAGAG